TACAATGAGTTAACATGTCTACCTAATAATGTGATTGAATGAGATACCACCTAACCTTGGAGAAATATGGAGCGAGTACATGTACATGTAAATCAGTTTCAATTATACACTGTATCACAATTCAGTGATTTAACAAGAAGTACCATATGTGTGGTAATTTTCGTTGTGTCTGTGCTCACCTTAAATCCTTACAATTTAAACCACCTCTATTGCCTTTCTATTGTATAGACTATATTATGGCCAGAGTATGAAAATTAGCTTGCAGAAATATTAATTTTTGAGCACAATTCATTGAAAACACAAAATTTTAAACACATAAAATTTTGAACATATTCCTTATATGTTTGTGTAATATTATGCTTTAAATATCTTTATTTTTAGATTTGACTAAATTATCACTATCTGAAAACAAGTTGAAAGCATTACCACCTTGTAAGTGTATTAAATGTAGTCAGTATATACTTACAGTATGTGGTGTTCTTTATCTTGTTATTAGTGGTTGCATTGGAGAGGATTACTGAGATTGATGTAAGTCAAAAGTCTCCAAACCAATTGAATGAATTCCCAATCATTAGACCAGGAAACACATTTAAGGTATTTGCATGTGTACATGTATGTGTTTGAATTCATCTTTATTATTGTTTTGAGGATACATGTACATTGTACATGTAGTTTGTTAAAAATTTAGTTACTGCATTCCAAAAATATTTAACATAAGTCATAATACCCAACAGTTACTTGGAGTTATTATAGTGTCATTTTTGCAATGTAATTTTGATTGATAAAATTACATGTACCTGTATAATTTTTCATGTTCTTTCCTTGTTTTATTATCTCTTCTCTGTCTCCCTTTCCTCCTCCCCCTCTCTCTCCCTCAGTCTCTATTATTATCATTTAATAAGATTCAGACATTACAAGATGATAGACTTACCCACTTGTCTTCTCTCACTATATTAACTCTGAGAGAGAATAAACTAACAATGTGAGAATAGAATACATAACAAATGTACTGTAACAATAATTAAGAAGTAAATAATAATAATAATAATAATGATAATAATAAGAGTATTTTGAATTACATGTACATGTATGATGAATGTTAAGCACTGTTAATCCATAGATGATAGGGTAATTGACATTATCTGTATGTACATGTATAATGTGTTATTGCACATTGTTTTATTAATGTTTTGTTGCTATAGGCTACCGGACTCGATTGTCCAGTTAAGCAAGTTAAAGAGACTGGATTTAACTAATAATGATTTATCAAGGTGAGATAAGGAGAGAGAAAGCTTGATAGTGTTTTAGTTTCTACTATTCATAATTATTTCTTATTTATTTCTTTTACTATATATTTGTCTTATAGTCTTCCCTACATGTTGGGAAGGTTTGAGTCTCTTCATTCTCTTCTCTTGGATGGTAATCCTCTCAAATCAATCAGACGTGACATCCTCCAGAAAGGAACGGTTGAGCTCCTCAAGTATCTCCGCTCTCGTATTAAAGAACCAGAAGAACACGTCTCACCACCAACCTCTCCCTCATCCCTCAAGATCCCCTCATCATCATATAAGTGAGAGATTATCTGACTTTTCATGATAGTCATGTGATGTTGTGTAGGGAAGGATCGTTGTTGGGGACATGGCCAGAAAGAAAGTTGTGTTGATGAAAGTTAATTTGACTGAGCTACCTGCTGAGTAAGAACAGCAGTTTTAATTATTATTATAATAGTTAATATGCACATGTACTTTAATGTATTCAGGGTTTCCCACAAAGCATGCCAAGTGAGCTAAACAGCATGAGCTTCATGAGCTGACAAGCACTACAATAGAGTACATGGCTGATTTAGAGCAATAGCAACTTTAAAAATTCATAAAAAATTCAATTTTGATCAAATCAACTCAAACTTGCTACACAACATAAGAACATGTACATGTATCAAAAAATTATAAAAATGGAATTTCTTTTGTATCGATTTTTTACTAATGTCCCTGTACTATCATCTTGGTCCAAAATTTTAGACAATTTTAAAATGCATTGACAAGAAGTTGGGCACTGTGCCAAATTCTGTGGGAAACTCTGCACTTAAATGTACATTACATGTACATGTACATGTCTCTCCTCTATTTTGAATTTTTTAATTCGTTATATTTCTGTTTTCTCTCTCTCAAATATAAATAAGTTCTTAAATGATCTACCTTCATCTCTTTCCTCTTGCTCCAGTTTATGTTCTCTCATTATTATCATTCAATCGTTTATCCACATGGTATTTTTCATCAAAAAGGGCAAGTCATGCTACTTCTCATGATGTCATTCCATTCTTTCTCTCTTGATCCTCTCCTTCTACTTTCTATAGAAGAATTACTCTAACGACTAGATCAGTAGTATTGCTGAGGAAAATGCATGACTGTTGCTATGACAATTGTACATGTACATGTACATCCATAAAAATACTCAAGAATAATTTGAGATTTTTCTTTCTTTTGTATTGTCCTGTTATATTTGTAATTTTTGAAAAGCAATTGCTTTGACAACTATAAAAATTAATGAGCAAAACAACAAAAATAGAATCTGAATGCATAGACAATTAAGCATCACAAAGTTGCAAATTATAATAATCTTTTATAATAGTCTAATAATGTTTGTGCTAGTCTATCAGTTATTATTGTATTCTCTTGTTTAATTATTTCTATAAACAAATGAAATACTTCGCCATCCATTTCAATAGATTCTTTAACTAAACCAAGTAACTTGTCAATTCTTTGATCAGCAGTCAATCCACAGTGCTGATCAGTAATTTGAGTCTTCTGCCTTTCATTTATTATCCTCTTCTCAAGTAGCTTATCTACTAATGTATTTAGATCAAGCTTTTTCTTTATCGTTCCAGTACATTCTGTCATTACTCTATGAGCAATATCAGATCTAAATGTATCTGTTAATGATACAAATTCAGTGATTAGTGTGTTATTATGTTAATATCAACCATACCTTCTTCAGTCTCTCTCCTGGTTTGACTGATACTAGCAGTAGAGGAGCTTGAGCTAGTACAGTTTACTATACACAAAATTTAATAGTAAAAATTAGCCATAGACACATGTCATCAACTAACTTGTATGTGGTGCAGGAGGCATTCGGTTGATGTAAATTATTTTTGAAGGATCTATCCCAGTTAATTTAATGGGGCAATGAAGTGGCTTTTTAGCAACACCAATTTCAGCATACACTGATATATGGATACTGGAACACATAGGATTGTCTATGAACTTGTCCACTACATATTGATGTATCTATAATGATATGTAACAGCGATGCTGTGTATTATACACGTGTAACACTGTACATACTTGCATTGGGGATTGGTCAGGATATACAGTCCATCCTGATTCAAGTGATGGAGTATCTTGTAGACACAACTGAAGGACACCATCAGGTTCATTGTACTTAAATGGAACAATTGGACCATCTTTTTCAACTTCAGGATGATTGTTGCCTAAATACTAAGATTCCAATAAATGAGATTCTTCTCAAATTACATTACATACTTGCTGAAGGACTTCTAAATCTCTAACAACAGAAAATGTAGTCATCCATTGATTAACTTCTTTCTTTTCATGATACATCATTCCAGTGTACAGTAGAGTAACTCCTGTACAACAATTATAAATAAAAACATAATAACTGTGACTACACTTTTGTCTTCATTTGGTTTTTGCTTCACTTCATCTTCAGTTGATTCATTGCTAACATTAGATGCACCTAATAATACAAAACCTCATTATGAATTTACACATTTACTTGATAAATTACACATACATACATACCAAAATTATACTCTACTTCTTGTACTTTCTTATTTGAGTCATCAGTTACTGATTCTATTATGAAAATAAAACTTTCTACAACACAATTACAGTCACACATACTTTGAGATAGTCCAGTAATTATTGGTGAGGAAGTTCTCTCACTAGTCTCTCCTGCTCCATTACCACTATTATTATGTAAATGTACATGTATGTCATCAGTTAATCCTATTATTGTACATTATTAATAATAAAACACTATTTCCATGATACATGTACCTTCAGGTGGTGTCTCATAACCTTCCTCACTCTCACTGTCACTAGGTGTGTCTCCATTACCCATCTCAGCTACAATACCCATACAACAGAACTGCTCGCGCTTTATTGATCCGTATCTTTTCCCAACTCTAAAAGATCCTCCTTTAATTATATTCAACTGGCAAGGAGACTTCAGTGGAGCTCTCACAAACTTGAGGCAACCAGTCTGACTAGTGTTCCTTAGATCCACACAATGTTGTAGCTCTATTACCAGTGGTTTTAATAGTGCCTTAGATACTGATATTGCATATACTGCACTCACTAGCACAGTACCTTTGGGTACCTTGAAATTACCACCAGCTAGTGCAGTAACAGCTACTTCAGTCTCCTTGGACACTGCTCCTTGAGGACACTCTAATCTGAATCCATATTTCTCCCACTGGAGTGAGTGAGACCGGTCTCCTTGTAGGATAAGGAGCTTCTGTCCAGCTATAATGACACTAGAGTCTAGTGAATCTGAAACAATACAGACATATCATATCTAATACCAGTATAATACACACAATCATTCACATGTGTATATCTACATGTACATGAATGTATAATTTACCCATTGAAGGGATCATGTAATTAAATTGTAGTCCAATGGAACTAGTCTCTTTGATAGGTTGCTTGAGGACCCTCTCTTCTCGTTCTTTCACTAGTTTGGCTATGTACAACTCCTTTTCTTTAAGGTCTATAAATTAATAGAATAATAATATTTATTATCTATTGACAATACACAAACCAGTAATGATCTGTTTCTCATTCTGTGATTGTTCCTCTACTTGTGACGTCAGTTTGGCTATAACTTTGTCTTTTTCTGAAATGAGATTTTGATTGTCATCTACACAATAAACATATTCTCTCATCTAATACATGCTGTGTGTATAGTTAACTAACGAATAAAAATCTGTTTCTCATTGAGATATTGCTCTTCCATATCAGCAATTTTGAGTTTCAGTTTCTCATAATTTTCTACATTAAAAGAATATTCTCTCATCTAATATATGTACTAATGAACTAACCAGTAATAATTTGTTTCTTCTCTTCATTATCAGCAACTTTAGCTTTAAGCTTCTCATAATCTTTTAGTTTGAATAAAAATACAAAGATAAAAAATAAAATATTTGTTACTTAAACAAAATTCCGTTCACTGCACGTACATGTATAGTAGCCCATAACTATGATTATTGCTAATGATACAATATATGGTAAGCAGAGCTCACTATACATACATCTCATTATTTGTAATGCATCCTATATTGAGTACAGGATACTATTTCCATACTCAACATTGTCTAATCCACTAGTATTATAATGTAAACAATGTGCACATAAACAACAGTACAACACAATAGTACCTAATTCAAGAGTTGATTTATCAATTTCTGCTTGCTCAAGGAGAGTGGTAGCATCATCAAGTTGCTGACTAAGTGTTGCCTTTTCTTGAAGAAGCTGTTGCTGCTCTTTGTCTCGATCTTGCTGTATCTGCTCCTTCTCTTTTATTTCTCTTTGAAGCTGCTCCTCATACAATTCTCTCTCTCTTTCTTGTAGGTGCCCTGTGAGTAATTGAACCTCTTTGCTTAATCCTAAATTCTCCCAATCACTCAGTATCCTTCTTCTTAGTTGATCTTGATACTGGTCCAGAGATATTACACTAGTAGACCAGTCATTATCACTAGAATGCCCTATGCAATAGAGCAAAAATAGTAAATTAAATACATCATCAGTTAATTGATTTTTGCTGCTATTTGGTAATCTTATTCATGTTTAACCACACGAACGTATTATTATTGTATATAAATACAATAATAAATTCAATCTAGCTCCTTTTAATATCAGTGTTTATGTAGCAGTCATGTTATTTCACAATTATACAATTTTGTTTCAATTTTAAATCTTTTTTGCAAAAAGGTCTTATCGCCTACGCACTTTTTGACCATTATATGAAATGTAAACCTAGTGTTATGTAGATACAATGTGTGTTGAATATGTAACAATAAATAATAATTACAATAACGTTTGCAATAAGACAGAACCAAGACACAATAACTAACGTTTGTAATAAGATGGGGATTGGCTATACTATTACTAATTGGCCAGATTTTAATTCTGCGTTCATTTGTGTTGTGTTTTCTGGCAAGCGTAAACCAGGCTTTACATGTACTTACTGAGTTCAATAACTGCTGTATGAGTGCATTCTGTTAATCCACCAAACTCAATTATCCAGTTAGTAGTTGGAGTCACACTCCACACTGAGAGAGAATGCAAGTATCTGTTTGTGACATTGATTGGTAGATTAATCTAAAATGATAAATATTAGTTTGTGTATGACATGTTAATTGATTTGATACCGTATAGCGGGTATATTTCATCTGGAAAAATGTTCATTCTAAGCAGGATTAGAAATTTTCGTTCGTTTTATTTTCATTCTGAGCAGCCATTTTGCACACATGGCATTGAGGAAACGCCCTTTTCGTTTGGAAAATGTTCGTTCCAAAAGGAATGAGAACGAAAATAACGAGATTAAACTCGAACGGAATATACCCGCTATACGGTATCTGGTTAATATACACAATAACTATAACTGACACTTTATAAATTATAGTCAGCACAGTGTAATACAAAAATGATATAAATCATATAATATGCATAAACATATAAAGGTACATATAAAGAAGTACTCACATACATGTTACATGTGCACCGTACATACATATGCATATATTAAAGCTTATGCACACATATACACACACAAAAAGACATAAAAACAAATTCACACAAAAACAGACACACACACATACTGAATACCAGCATTATTCATCAGCAGTTTTCACTGAGTATCATAATATGTACATGTACATTACAACCTCATGAGTTACAAATATAGTTAATTTGTTTCAT